TAGGAGAAATATAGAAAAATGCTCTCTAAAACCAGTGTAATTTCCACTTGATACTTTTTGCTCATCTCCCTATTTTATATTCCATTTGTACCAATTGTGTTCTTGTCTGTCCCATCTGCTGGACTTACAGCTACCCTAAGGGACAACTGAGTCATCTCTGCTACTGGACTGCCTTTCACAGTGCATGGCACCTATCTACTGGATAGAATAAATCAATGATGTCAAAATCTCTTGGCTCAGAATTCAAAAATGTTGAGTTTACAAGTTCAAATTGGATGGAATTCCTCCCACCAAACTATTTTGGCAAAATAAATAAATGAAGATGATTTTTAAGTCTGATTACTTAGAACTACAGTTATATCTATCCAACATAACCAGTATTGGACATTTCATGCAGAAAGAAAGGGCCTTGGTATGCTTTCTTTTTCACCTTCTCACTTGTGTGTGTGTATACACATACACAAATATACATATATGTATGTATATATGCAATGGTGCTTTCATATTGATTCGATGAATCCATGGGCACATCTTCCCATTTTTGTAGATGTCTCAGTTAATAGATTGTTCAGGCATATATATGTTGTTAATTTAAAAAAGAGAGAGAGAGAAAGGAAGACAGAAAGACAAGGAAAAAGATGGGGAAAAAAAGATGGGAGAACCAGCCAAACCCTATGTCACATTTTAGTTTCTGAGAAGTGGCCCTGAGGTGATTCTCTTTATTCTGGATATTGTCTCCACTCAAAAACTGTTGTTGTTGTTGTTGGGGGCTTGAACTCAGAGCCTGGTTGCTGTTCTTGAGCTCTTTTGCTCAAGGCTAGCGCTTTACCACTTTGAGCCACAGTGCTACTTCTGATTTTCTGCTAGTTAATCGGAGGTAAGAGTCTCATGGACTTTCCTGACTGGGCTGGCTTACTGTGATCCTCAGATCTAAGCCTTCTGAATAGCTAGGATTACAGGTGTGAGCCACCAGTGCCTGCTTCAATTTTTGTTGTTGTTGTTGGTAGTGGTGGTCATGGGGCTTGAATTCAGGCCCCTGAGCTTTTTTCCTTAAGGCTAGTTACTATTTTGAGTAACAGCTCCACTTCTGGTTGGTGGTTAATTGGAAATAAGACCTTCACACACTTTCCTGCTGAGGCTGGCTTCAAACTGTGATCCTTATATGTCAGCCTCCTGAGTAGCTAGGATTACAGGCATGAGCCACCCGTGTTGAGCTAGAAATCAATATAAAAAATGAAATCATAAGGGCTTTATGATATCCTCTAATCTGTGTTATGTAAACACACAGATTACTGATCACAAAGCTATAACTTAATGCATTTATATTTTGACTAACTTTTTAATCAGTCATTTTTTTAAACTGTATAAAATATAAAAATCATCTCTAAGCATAGGACTTTCAGCAGACTTTGGATTTTTGTATGGTTTTCCTCAGTCATATTTAAAGCTAGGACTGAGGGATGATCAAATCATATTTGAATGGCTACTCCTGAGCCACAGTGGAAGACACTGTTCCTTTCAGTTGTGTTATTGGGTCTCCATGGCCTCTTCACTGGAATTCTGTCTCACTACCACATAGCCTCTATGTTTCTTTAAAGTTTTAGCTTCAGTCACTTTTTATAACTTCTTTCAACATTAATTACCTGATTTGGGTATATGGATTGTTATACCTGTCTCAGGTTGTACCTAATTCCCTTTCACACTTGACTGGTTCAACTTCTATTCATACTGCTTAAGTGAATTCTGCATGCTTTCCACATTTTTCATGTCTGAATCTCAGCCACATGTCTGGAGTTATTTTCCAAACAAATTACAATTCCCTATTAACAAGTGTGTGCACACCAAATAACAAAAATCTAACTAGGTTTTTTGTTTTGAGCAAATGAAAGGACTTTATTACTTCTCACAACCCCCAGGTGTTTCTGGCTCTACATATGGCTGATACAGAACCTCCAGAGATCTTAAAGAGACACTTTTATCTCTCTCAACTCTGCCTTCTCCCTCTCTACTACTTTGCTTTCAGCCCCAGTGAGATTGAGGTAGCCATCATCAGTTCTAGGTGTCACATGCATGTTTAAGTTTTTGTCATTCTTCTCAGTATATTTCTGTGATCCTACAAATGTGGGGAGCAAAGTTAGAGGTTCGGTACCGGACATGATGTTTATGCGCAATGTGAATCTCTGGGACAGGAGAGGAGAGGTACCATCCCCACCGCCCATGTTAGAGCAACATCGTTTTCATAGATCATCTATATGGAACTAGTTTTCCTTAGACTTCATCTTAGAACTCAGATCCTGACTGTTTGTACCCTCAATTTTGACAAAGGGCAAGTGGGAAACTAAGCAAATCTTACATTCAAATAAACTTATCTAAAGTAAGGTGAAGAGACGTTTTGCTTTCTGGCATGTAGACAGCTCTGGGGAATAATGAGATCACTCTTACACAACATGGGGTTCCCAGTATCACTGTTCGTTTATGTTTATCAATTTTTTTCTTTTGCCAGTCCTGGGGCTTGAACTCAGGTCCTGGGCACTTTCTCTGAGTTTCATTTACTCAAGGCTAGCACTCTACCACTTGAGCTACAGCACCACTTCCAGCTTTTTTTGTGTATGTGAGGAATCAAACCCAGCGCTCCATGCATGCTAAGCAAGCACTCTACGATTAAGCCACATTCCCAAGAGTTATTTTTCCCCCCATCTCTTTTCTATAGGTTCCATCATGCAACCCCTTCTTCCAGGCCAGCGCAACTACAGGGACTTTCAAGATAAACCTCCCAATCCTTTGTATTGATAGGGAAAAGATCTATGTGTGTCAGTGCACCTGATTCTCTGGAAAGGAATAATACCTTGATATGAAATGGCCACACGGAAGAATGGGTACAACTTCAAAACACATACGAGAATCTATTATTAACTTCTTCTTCCCTGCCATGCACGTTCCCTCCTCTTTCCCTAAGTCCTCTTTCTTCTGCATCAGACTATAAGACATTTTAGATACACTAAAATTCCTAACTCAAAAAAGCAAATGCAATTAGAGACTCATGGGATTTTTCTTTCAATACTGAAAGGAAATTCAAGACCTCTTCCATTTGTGACACATGCTTTTCCCAACAGAGCCTCATATGGTTGCCAACTTCGGTGAAACTGAGGCATAGAAGTTGTGACCTGTCAAAGAATTAAGTGGTAAGGGTTCAGAATTTATGTCTGGGAGCAGTTTACCTGACAAGTTTTGCCCATCTCTCTTCCACATCTGAATTCAATCAGGAGATATTTAGTAAGCGTATGCTGTGGCTCTGGAGTTAGAGAGGAAAGTATGCACAAAATAAGCTTGGCCTTCCTGTGGCATTGTTTTGCTGCTTCTCACAGCCTTAGTTTTCTTATCATAGGTGAGGGGAACAGCCACCTGTAGAAGTGGTTCCAAGGGTTGGTGAGAGTCTATACAAATGCTTACTGGCTAGTTTGTCACATTGTTGCTGAAGGATACAGACTAGAGAAAACACATGTTATGAAAGTAGACAAATTCCACCTTTCAGAAGTAGAATAATATGAGGTTTGCTAAGGTCATAGAGCTGTGTGTCCCTTGGCACCCTGTGGATTTATCCCCCTATTGAGCCTTTGCTCTTCCTGTTTTGTCTTCCTTACTTGGGATTCATTGTTATATGTTTTTCCTGCATTTCTGAAGGATCCCCCAGATTGGCTTTTGGGAGCCGAATGAGAGTGAAATGCAGGGGGATGAAAGAGGTTTTCTTCCTTTCTGATCAGCAGTTTAGGATGTAGAGGCTAGTGTTAAGGAGAGAGAGAGAGAGAGAGAGAGAGAGAGAGAGAGAGAGAGAGGGGGAGAGAGAGAGAGGAGAGAGAGGAGAGAGAGGAGAGAGAGGAGAGAGAGAGAGGGGAGAGAGAGAGAGGGGAGAGAGAGAGAGGGGAGAGAGAGAGAGGGGAGAGAGAGAGAGGGGAGAGAGAGAGAGGGGAGAGAGAGAGAGGGGAGAGAGAGAGAGGGGGAGAGAGAGAGAGGGGAGAGAGAGAGAGGAGAGAGAGAGAGAGGAGAGAGAGAGAGAGTGTTCCTGACTTTGGAAATCTCAGCCACCCAGCAATACAAACCTTAAAAAGGAGAATCGTTCTGAAGGAACAGAAGCCAATTGCACAGGGAGAGGTTCATGAGACAGAACTTAAGAGGAATATCAGAAGGCTAGGGTCACTTTAAGAGTTTGGCTATTAAGTCCTAGAGACAGCTGGAGGTATAAACAGTGGAGTAAGTGGGTGGTCTGATCATGCTATAGAAGATCATTTAGGTTGCTGAAGAGAGAATGTATTGTTAGTAGGAGAAGCAGAACAGAGACTACCTGGCCTGTGTAGTCATATAAGTAGAAACAAGGGTACCTTGCACTACAGGGTGACAGGAGGTGGCATTGGGGTCTGGAGAGATGTGACAGTAAGGAATTATTGCTAGGAGATTTGGCTTGAACATCTGAGGGGTAATACAGAACAGCGGGTTTCTGCTGACTATTAACACTTTCTTTCCCTTGGCTCTTCGTTCTAGGGTGGAGTCCAGAGAATTCACACAGCAGCTCCTCTGCCCCTCTCTTATACCAGGGTAGTGCAATGTTGGATCTTTTCCTGTATGCTTGCAGTGTTAAATCCTGACTCACTGTTCCTGCACTGCCACTAGGCCTGGGGAAAAGTAATTGGCTTTTATAAAGTTCCTGAGGTGAAAGAGAGGATGGAGCAGGACATGGGTAGTGCCTGTAGCCTCCACTGCATATGAAAAATATCCTCTTTGGGAGGAAGGTACATCTCGGCCACTTCACCAGGGTGCCAGTTCAAAAATAGTAAGGCTAGAAGATGCCCTTGGAAATGAGTCATATCCCAGTCATATCTCAGTTCTGTCTGAGACATTATGACATAGGCTGGGCCTTTTCCAGGAAGGTACACATTTGTCTATATTGCCAAACTGAGCTAGAAGGGTATAAGGCTTTGGTGCTCAGGATGTGTTTGTCTTTTCAGCTGGGATGACAGCAGCTCCGTCAGCAGTGGCATTAGCGACACCATAGACAACCTCAGCACGGATGACATCAACACCAGCTCCTCCATCAGCTCCTATGCCAACACACCTGCCTCCTCCCGAAAAAACCTGGATGTGCAG